GATTTGTCGAGCTTGAGGAATTCCATCAGAAATTTCCGTCGATTTCCAATCGCTTTTTGACAGCTAGAGGATGCTATTACTACACAAGACTTTAAAATTTGATTTAACACTTTTTAACGCGAGATAATTTTTCGCCTATTTCTACATAGTTTTTTTTTTTAAATTTCAATATTATTATGACAAGCAAATTTTGAATTATGCCTTTTTGACATGCTTGATTTACAACTTTTCTATTATAGTTTCACGCCATTTTTGAATCGTTTTTCCATAGTTATCAGCATTTTTCGGTAATTCCCACATAGCTTATCAAATGTTGATGTTTATAAAACAATGTTCAGGAGGGCCACTGAATTAAGATTTCAAATTTAGCAGATTTTTCCAAGTAAAAATCTTAAAATTTTCAAGATCACTATGTCATTCTCACTAAGTGTAGGAAGCGTACTTAACCTCTAAGAAAATGGTGAATATTTTAAAGTATTTAATTTAAAATGTAATTTTTTAACATATAATCTTGAAAAAATAGCTAGATTAGATTAATTTTAACAACTTAGCAAGATTTTGTTTCTCCTTTTTCAAAATTTTAATATACGGGTACACAACATTAATTTTTAAAACAATTAAGATAGATGTGGAGAAAATAATATGTCTAGCTTGTAAAATATATAGTTTATTGAATAAAATTTTTTCAATGTGTTACTTCTAGTAGATTTTTCACAAAATGTACCAAATGGCAAATATAGAGCAGCTCTAAAAACCTTGGACAAGGATTGTTTAACATATTTTTATTAAGTTAAAGAAAATAATTCCATGCGATCATACTTCAATATCTTTACTTGACCTGTCTTTGCTATTCTGCTTTGAAATTTAACTATTTATTTACATTTGAATATAGAGCCATTTCACTGTATTTCATGCAAACAGTGCTTTTTGCAAAATTCATTGATCATATTTTCTTTAAAACAATATCTAAATTCAAATGTTTAAATAATGTTGTTTGCTTTGAATTAGCGTATTTTTTTTTATACAGAGAAATTAAGTATTTAAAAATGAATGTTGTAAATGCAAAAATTATCAAATTTCTTGTGAAATTCTTTAAATTTCATTCTTTTTCTTTATTTAAAATCAAAATATTTAAAAAAATCTAATCTAACCACATGCCATTAGTTCATTGTTTTTTCAACTAGAAAACAGTATTTGTAGAGTGTAGAACAAATAAACAAAGTTTTTTTTTCTGCTTAATAAACACAAAAATAATTTATTTTTATATCCCATGCGCTTACATCATTAACATGTTTCCCTTACATTCTCCTTAGTGTTTTGTGAGCTTTTTAGAGAAAAAGAGACACTGTTTTGGAAATATCATTTCTAGAATGCAAAAAACAATTACTCAGTCTCAACATTGTAATTGACAACACAATTCTAATTTTGAATTGAAAATCAAATATTTATTCAAAATCAAATATTTAGCAAAACTGTAAAATTCAATGTTATCAACATACAGTTGGAGCTTAAAAGAACCTTTTTTTTTCAATTAAAATATGTTCTAAAAGAAATTAGCATCAATGCAACAATTGTAATGATTGGTCTACAAACATTGCTGTTAGCGATTGTAAGAAGATGCGTGATTGGTTGGCTTGGCGAAGAAAAAATAATTCAACAATTTTATTAAATGGGAGTACAAAAGCTTACAGAAAAAGCGTGTGAAATTATAAAATTATGACCAAAAATTTTTGGAGAACTTAATAAAATAAAAAAATTCTAAATCATTTTGAACAATTTTGTCAAAAGAAAAAAATGCCCACAAAGCATGGGATTTTACTTTTCCTAACCCCTTCTTACACCCCCACAATATCCTTTGCCTTTTCTGATCTGCATAGTCTTAAAGAGGTAATAAGTGTTTCACTGGGTGCACTTTTCCTGTTTAACAGAGTAATAATGGGGCAAGTTTTAATGCCAAAATATTGCTAAATTGGTAATTTCGTTAAGTGATAAATTTCCGTCTAAAAAAGGAGGTGTATAATGGATGGCAAAATTTAGAAAATCGAAGAAAAGTAATTAAGTTTTTCTCTAAAAATTCCCTAATTTCACAAGGTTTGTATCTAAATTTTCCTGACTTTTCCATGTTTTTTCCAGATTAAAAAAATTCCCTGATAATTCCTGGTATTCAAGGTTTTCCAGGTGGATGGCTACCCTGATGTTTCTACATCGCGTGAATTGCAAATTCAAGGTATTAGGTATCCCTTTTAACCACTCGGTTGGCAACAATACCGTCATAAATCAACATAGTTACCTGATCATCTTTTTCTGCAATTAATTATTCTTTAAGCCATTTTCATGCAATTTTTTCAAATTTAAACAGTATTAATGATATTAAAAAGACATTTAAGTTTCGAATTTGAGTTATAACTTTTAGAAACCAGGGATGAGATAGGCAAAAAGGGTAAATTTCCACGAAAGTAAATTTTACATGCGTGCAATCATTTAATAATAAATTCCAGACAATTTAGGATAATAAATAACTATGTGCTGACATAAAATTGTATACTAATTTATTAATACATGAATGATACATTGATACTTAACATTTAGAAAAAAGTAAAATTATCAATTGAAAAAATAAAGCTAGAAATTATATTTTTCTTCAGTTAACATAAGGGAGACAATTATTACTTGAGAAAATGCCTGGTTTAGCAAATTAAAACTACTGAGAACATACATTAACATTTCCTCTCCTTTAATAAATACTGTTACGTGATTTATAACAAATATATCAGCAATATGCCTTTTTAAATTATTTAGAAAAGAATCTTTTACAATTAGAATTACTATTTTCATATTATAATCTAATTAAGCTAGAGTCTCGTGAAACATGTCAATAACTGTGAAGTAGAAGCATATAGTAACTCCTTAACATACAAAAATTGCTATTTAAGTTTGAAAAACTACATGATAATCAGCAGCTGTTGAGATAATTATTTTTCATCTCATAAGAATTTTGCATTTTATAGCATAAATAACAGCAGCATTATTTTTTAAATTTTGGTGCTGAGTTTATAAACTCTTCTTCAAAAAAAAAAAATTGAATCACTTTTCAAGTGATTGCTTTGATTTGCTATTTTTTTTTTTTTTTTTTTAATTTGCTGCAAATGCTTCAGGTGTTACAAAACAAGCAAAAATCCTTTAAAAAGATCAAATTACTTGTAATGCAGCTTGTGAATGAGGAGAAACAGATTGGTGATTAATTTAGTCGTTAGCCCATCTTCAAACATCTTTTGACAAATCCTATTTTTCTTTCTTTACCTGCCTGAGTCACATTTTTCTTTGCAAGCACAGAATATAAGTTTTGAATATGCCTACATATACTAATAATTGTCGATAGAAAAACAGTAACATTTATAGTAACTAATTAAAGAAAAACTTACTTCTTACAAAAATCATGATAATTGATTTTAAAATCATGTGAATACAAATAGCGATCTTGGATTTTAAAATCGCCTGAATATGAATCACGATAATGGATTTTGAAATCACCTGAACATGAATTCGATCTTAAAAATGAGAAAATACGAATCATGAAGCGTAATTTTTAGATCGCGTAAATAAGAATCACGATGCATAATTTTTAGGTCGTGTGAATACGAATCACGATGCATAATTTTTAGATCGCGTGAATGCGAAGCCCAATGCCTTATTTTAAAATCACGTATAAATATGAAAATCTATGTTTGATATTATAACCGCATGAACAAATCACGACATTCGATTTTAAACAATCGTGAATACGAATTGCTGCATAGGTTTTTAACCCTTTCAATACGGCGAAAAATCAGCAGGGGTGAAAGCGAGACGGAAAAGAGGAAAGGCTGGTAGTAAAACCATTTCAGTTGTAGCTAGTTTTGGGGAGGAGTTTACTTATTCTTTTTTTAAATTTTTCAACAATATCTACTTTATCTTGGAAAAGAAGCAGTTTTATATATATGCCAGAATTATAAAAGAAATCTTGATAGTTACAGATATTTCATTTTTTTGAAAAAAATGCTAGAATGAAATGTTTTACGTACCAGGTTTTTCTCTTTTCCGTCTTGCTATATAAGGGCTTTCACCCATGGACTGGGACAGCACATGTCCCGTCCGGTGCGAAAGGGTTAAAAACACATAAATACAAATTGTAACATTGAATTTTTAAATCCCGTAAATAAGAATCGCAATGTACGATATTCAAATCGTATGAATAAGAATCGCAACGTGCAACTTTTAAGCCACGTAAATACGAAAAGCTATGTACGTGAATAAGAATCGAAATGGTAGCAAATTCCGGCTTGGGACTTTTAAAAGGTTTGTTTGAAGCAGCGGCGTCTTACGCTACGAAAATATTACGAAACTACGAGCTATCTGGCGGACGGGTAAAAATGAGGAAAATCTTCTCTTCTGCGCGTAAAAGTGGAGAAAATAGCTAAATCAAGTAAAAAGGCGGAAGGGTTGGCAACTATGTAGTTTGAATTTTCTGTTTATCTTTGAAAATTGGAAATATAATTAATGTATTTCAATGGCTGAATTTCCTGAAAAAGCAGAATATTTATAATTTCTATAATGTAAAAAATTATAGAATATTTATAAAAAAAACATAAGTAAAACCTTTAGATAATCAGAGTTTTCGATAAAAGGCTGAAATTCGAGATACAAAAGTGAAAAAAGCGGAAAAATCTCATCCCTGAGAAATGCTTGGAAAGAGAAAAAACTCCTGACTTTATTTTTAAAAAAAATCGGAACTTTTTGGGACCCTTTTTCAAATTCAAAACTTTTGAGAGATGATTTTTTAATGATTTTAACTCCAGGTAACTCCATTTACAGCCAGTCATTTTTAGTGCTTTAACAGTAACCAATTTTAAATTTTATTAAAATAATATTTTTAATCATTTTGACTAGAGTATAATAGGAATAAAATAAAAAAAATACATTAATCATTTGATTTTTATAATAATCTAATTTCTGAAACTTACATCCATTCCCGTATCAACTTGATATGCAGGCCAGCTACAAGAAAATACGATAGGACGTCCAGTATTATTCAGAGCACTTGTTATAGATGGATATACTGCATATAAAATTAATATCTTAGTATTTAAAATAAAACATTTTCTGTTAGAGTAAATAAAAATTTAACTGGTAAAAGAAAAAAACTCATAAAGAAAGAATTGCCTTTTAAATTGTAAAGAAACTTTTCTTAGAATGCACGTTAGGCAATATTATTGCAATACTTAAATTTTTTTTTTCTTGGAATACTAATCAAAAAGGGTTACTTTCCATATAAATCTAAAATTATTAAGATTATCAATCTAAGATTGACAAATATCAAACAAATTTTCATATAAATATCTATATTTTTATTTTTTTCACAGCAAGATTTGCTTCTATAGTCTTTTCCTGAAAAAAGTTATAAATAATTTTATCAACAGAAACGTGCAATATCTTGGAGAGTTTGTTCTGTTTCTATGTGCTTGTGGTGAATTTGTTCTGCTCTATATGTTCTTGGAGAATTTATCGACAGTGCGGAATTTTTTTTAATATTGCTTAAAAAATAAACAAAAAATTCGAAGTTTGAATTAGTCAAAGAAAGTTTGTCTTTTTTGAATTCCAAAGAAAAAAGATGAATAATTTTTCCACTTTTTTGTGCGAATGCAAATGCAATTTAAAATTACATTCACGTGATTTTAAAAAATACATTGTGATTTAAGATTGCACATACAGTTTCTATGATTTTACATCAAATATGGAGTTTCATAGGCCCATGCAATATCTCGGAGAATTTGTTCTGTTTCTATATGTTCCTGGAGAATTTATCAACAGTGCGAAAAAAATTTTTAATATTACTCAAAATATAAACAAAAAGTTCGCCTCAACAAAGAAAGTTTGTCTTGTCTGAATTCCAGAGAAGAAAAAAAAAGGAATCCTTTTTCCACTTTTTCTTGCGAATGTAACGCAATTTAAAATTACATTATCATGATTTTATAAAATACATTGCGATTTCTATTTACGCGATTTAAGATTGCACATTGTGTTTCTATGACTTTATATCAAATATTGAGTTTCGTATTCATGCAATTTAAAAGCCATATGATTCGTTGTTCAGGTGAATGAAAAATTATACACCAGAATTCGTATTCACATGATTTTAAAAGCATGCAATCATGATTGAAATACGGATTTGTGTGATTTAATAATAACACATTGAGATTGATATCTACACAATTTAAATAAATAAATGAAATCTGACAACGATATTTTTATTAAACATTGATAAGATTCTGTGGATAAATACTTCAAAAATACATTTTTTTCAGGTATTTTTTACATTTATTTAAAAAGTGTTTTCGCACATAACATGTTTTGATTCCTATTTTCAGCTTCTTTTTTTCCCCACCACACTAATCCCTGTGGTATGAATCAATATATTCCCTAAATGAGTCAACAAAAAAGTTTTAACAAGTTACAAGAGTTTATCAATGTGTGTAAAAAGTGTTTTAATTGGGATTTTGTTTTTGCAGAAAGTTTTTCAATTTTATCTAAGTCTGTTTATTAGAGATATATTTTTCTCTTATCAATTTTAATGTGGTATAAGAAATATCAACATTCCAGCTTTAAATACAAAGGAATACAAAGAAAATACAATAAATAAATACAAAGAAAAACTTACAAGCGTCCATATCTTTAGGATTTGCATAACAACCATCAACTTTCAACATATCTATCCCCCATTCAGCAAAAGTTTGAGCATCAATTTCATAATTGTTGAAGCTTCCTGGATAACCAGCACAAGTTTTAGTGCCACAGTCAGTATAGATTCCAAGTTTTAAGCCTTTAGCATGTACCTTAGAAATTAAAGTATCTCATCAAGATTAGTTATGTATAAAAGATAATAAAATATGATAGTCCTCACTATTTCTCTACCTGGTGAAATTTTACTTTTCGGACAGTCAAAAATAATAGATTACAGAAAATATCTTTTTACAATAAACATGTTAAAAGGTGCTTTAAAAAGATTATCAAGTGTAGCATTTAGAATTAATAAACAATCATTCAGTAATGGGATGAATAATTAAATTTTGGGACTAATTCCTGATGTGCTTGAAACCTTTTTCTTTTATCAAAACAGTGAATTTTGTAAAGAGTGAACACATTCCAGAAAGTGAACTATAACATTTGTGAAGCATGTTTCTATACTACACACCAAAAATCTGCCAACAATTTACATCACTGTTTCTAATCATAATCTTATTTGAATTAAGATGTTTTTTTTAATAAATATTCAATTTATTAATATATTTACTTCTCTGCTAATGGACTTTGAAAAATTCTAGTGGTATAAGGGACCAATAAAAAACAACTAATAAAAGGGTAATTGTAAATCCTATAATAAGCTTATTATCATTGGAGATTATCAGTTAGTGTTTGTAAGAGCACCATTAATGAATTGATTAAACCAACTAAATTTATGATAAATGGTTTTATATCAAAACAAAGATCATTCAATTAAAATAAGGCTATATTTCGGTTTGGTATAAACATGTCGCAAATACAAGCTTTAATCGAAAAATATATTTGAGGTAAATATTTCATTTTAAATTCTGAAAAGTGATAAAATGAACACCTTCGGAAGAGAAATATATTCCCGAAAAAAATTTTCCACTTAGAAGGACATGCAAATTCAAAACTTTGACAATGAAAACTATTTAAACAAATATAATAGGTAAATAAGTACAAATCTAGAAATAGGGAACTGCATTATTTATTTGATGTTAATAAAATAATAATACCGTAATTTCGCGGAGACAGGCCGCGGCGTTATTGATTTAAAACTTGAAAATTTAATAAAAAGGCATATCTAACGGGGCGGCCTATATAGCATTACTTTAGAAAATTTAGCCTTTTAGAAGCCCCACTGGAAATTTCATCATCATTTTTTCCACCTGTTACTTATGCTTTTTATTTATTTTTTCATCTTTAATGTTACTCCAAAGAATGGTCAACGCACCTGGAATTTCCTCCTCCCGCATGCTTCTTAGAATCACTTTCTGGAAACCGCTATCTGCAAGAGAACAAAAGTTTTTCTTTCCCTTCTGCCTTAGGAACAGCAATTGAGTGCAGGGGATGGGCGTGGAGAAGCATAAACCAGAAAGGAATGAATAAAGAAAATCAGGGTGGCACCAGTGATGACATTCACTGTGAAACAAACGCTCCCCTCCCCGCTTTTTTTTCTGCAGGAAATATGTCTCTTCCACTTGTCATGGTCTCATCAGTAAGTATCCACTCCCCTTTTTTCAGCTGTTTGTTAAAAACATGTGAATGTTTGATGATGAATGGTGCCAATGAGCTTGAGATGGCCTTGAATATTCTTACAATTCAAGAAGAATTTCTAACTTTCAACTCAAGGTCAGTGAAGAGAGGAAGAAGCAATGTGGGTGAATTTTACACCCTCCTAGGCGGAGTCAGTAACTAAAAAAGAGCTGTTTTCTGAAGTCTCATTTGAGAAGAGAAAGTAGGGGGAGGGGAATATAGAAACGTGTTTTAAATGCTTGGGAGGGGAGCGCTTTTTCTTGGATTTTTATTTTCATTGCTCTTATTTCTGCCTAAAGAGTTCGATTATCTTCTTTCTCAGCTTATTTTTTTTATCGTTTAATCTTCAATTCTGATCTTCTGTTGCGTTTTTGTTTTGTTAATATTTTTGTTTTGTTAATATTTTTTTTCGTTAATATTTTTGTCTCGTTAATATTTTTGTTATTTTGTTTTATTTAAATTTCAACATGACTTGTTTTTAAGTTATATATTTCAAATGCCTCCCATTAAGAGGAAAAGTTATACAGCTGCATTTAAGCTTCCAGCTATTAAAAGACCTGAAGAAATTGGAAATCGGGCTGCTGCTCGAGAATTTGATGTAGATGAACGGTGCATCCGAAGGTGGAAGTCTGAAAAGGGTGTCTTGGCTACTCTACCCAAAACTAAGCGTGCTCGGCGCAATGGCACTGTTGGGTGGCCAGTGCTGGAGGATAACCTGGCGGCATGGGTAAAGGAGCAGAGGGCCAAAGGTTTGTCCCTCTCTACTGTTCGAATTCGCATGCAAGCGAAATTAATTGCTTCCCAGATGGGAATTCCAGATTTCAAAGGAGGCCCGAATTGGTGCTTCCGATTCATGAAGAGGAAGAACTTGTCAGTGAGGAAAAACACTACAGTAGGTCAACGATTGCCTACTGATTGGGTTGATAAAAAGGCTTCCTTTTTAACTTTTGTATCGAAAAAGATGGAGGAACGTGGACTTAATCACGGACAAATGATTAATATGGATGAAGTTCCGCTTTCCTTTGACTGCCCTCCAAACAGAACTGTGGAAGAAACGGGAACCAAGTCCGTGGCCATAGTAACCACTGGCCATGAAAAAATGGTCTTCACCTTTGGCTTGGGTGTTCCGCAATGGGGGAGAAGCTTCCCCCGTTGCTAATCTTCAAAAGGAAAACAATACCGAAAGGTAATTTTCCTCAAGACGTGATAATTAGAGCCAACGAGAAGGGGTGGATGTGCGAGGATATGATGCTGCAGTGGCTGGATTTGGTATATTGGAGGAGGAAAGGTGCTTTTTTCCAGCCACGCGTACTATTAATCCTCGACTTGCTGCGCTCTCATAAAATGGACTCTATCAAAGATATGTGCAAAAAACAATTGTCCACGGAACTTGCTGCCATCCCCAGCGGCCTAACAAAGGTGCTGCAACCTCTGGACCTCACTGTGAATGGGGTTTTCAAACAAGAAGTTAGGCGGCTGTGGGAAAACTGGATGGAGCGCGGCATCCACTCTTTTACTAAATCTAGACACACGCGGCGGGCAAGTTATGATGAGGTCGCCGCATGGGTTTCACAAGCGTGGAAAGCTGTGAAAAAACAAACCGTAATAAACGGTTTCAAGAAAGCCGAACTTTTATCCGGGGGAAATGAAACCGAAAGTGATGAAAGTGCTAGTGACGGGGATGACCCTGAAATAAACAATGAACTTATAAACTTATTTTTCTCCGAAACTGAGAGCTCAGATTTGGAAGGTTTTTAACTGCTGGATGTGATTATATTTGATATCTGGATAAATGATTATATGTGATATATAAATAAATTTTAGTTTTGCTTTGCACAAAATTTGTTTGAACTGATTCAAAAGTAAGATCGTTTTATTTTTAAAAATTTTAATGCTTATCGTTACATTGATTATTTAATTCACATTTTAATGGTTACTTCAAATTAAAATTAGAAAATGCTTAATATTTACTTAGAAAGTTATTGAAATCCATTTTAGTAGGATTGCTTAATTTTTTTTGTGTATTTAATATTCTTTTATTGGTTTCTTATTTAACTATTTAAGTTATATATATATATGCGTATATAGAACATGTTTTAAGTCTGTAATCAATACCTGCTTTGATATAGTATAATCCGGAGCGGCGTGTACGACTAAATTTTTTTATTTTTCAGCTAATTTTTTAGGGCGCGGTGTGTATACCAGGGCGGTGTTTCTCTGCGAAATTACGGTATCTCCTTTTCTAGCAATGAAGAAGCTGACCACTTGGCTAATTGTACGGAACACATAAACTACCTGTATCTACGAATTCTATGCATTGAAAATTAAACAGTAAATGCAAAATAGCTTACATAATCAGCTAAAGCTTTTATTCCACTAGGAAATCTTTCAGAATTGGGAACTAGTTTACCAGAACTATCTCTTTCTTTAGCCATCCAGCAATCATCTACATTGACATATTCATATCCTGCATCTTTAAACCCTTCTGCAACCATCTCATCAGCCATATCCATGTACAATTTTTCACTATTATAAAATTGGGAAATAAATTAAAACAAATACAACATTAAAAAGACTGCTTATATAGACAGTTTGGATAATTCTAGATTTTAAATATTTCACTTTCAATCTAATAGATGTAGATTCTTTAGATAAATGAACCAAAAATTTAAAAAAAGGATTTTGATTCCATCTCGAATCCATATGGCTTTTTGCTTGTTGTTTTTATAAATTTTACTCTACTTTTAAAAGCTCTGTATTTTTAAGCGAAATTAAGACACGTTTTTGCATTGAGTTATTAATTGTAATTCACATTATCGAATAATTTTCTTCTTACTTCTCTCGATTTGCGATCGATAAATTGTAAATTCACATAGTCTTTCCATTTGTTTTTTAATCATTATACATTTCTCCACGACTTTTAAAATGCCATATTTTTAAGAGAATTTTATTAAAACACACTAATTTTAAACCAATGTGAATATTGAATTGCTATATTTGAGTAATTACGATTTAATGCAGCATTGAAAAAATTATAAATCAGGAAAAAAAACTGAGATTGTAATGCAATTGTCACAAATCAAATGGTGACAACTCAAACGTCATAATAATATTATATAAAAACATCGGAACTTGAAAAATCAATATCGAAATACTAAAAAATCATTTGAAATCTATGAAAATTTAAAAAACTATGGGAGAGGTGCCAAAAAATAATAAATAACTACTCAAAACACTGTCACCAAATGAATCAAAATTGTCATGCAATCCTCACAAATGGAATGTGTCAAAAAGTGATAACTCAAATATCTAAATAACATTGTATCAAAAATATCGGAATCAGAAAAACCATTTGCCCAAAGAATAAAACCTGGATTCACCTTTGTATACTATAGCATTGCTTTACAATTTTCATGTAGAATTCCCAATGCTTCCCATGAATTCTTAAGAAGTGATTAGTTTAATTACGAGTAATTAAACATTCAATTTGTGAGAAGTTTGATTAATTTAATTTATCAAGCGTAGGTGATGGAGAATTAAGCAAACTAACAATAAAAAACATTAATTTATAAGAGATTATAAAAAATTATCCCAATAAATTTCTTTTTCTAGTTCAATTTCTTCTAAGTCGTAATACTGTGGCATGATACAGCTACTGGTAGAAATGAAACTCTTATGTAGGAAAAGTGTTTCATGGAAAATGTTAAAGCAAATATCACATATATGTTCTGGTGGCTTCTTCACTAATAGACCTATTCAAGAATGTAATGGCTGTGAGAATCGCTAATATTAGTGATAAAAGGTTGGTAACTTATACTTCAGTGAACTATCTAAACTGAAGCTATCAAACAACATTAACTGAGTGTTTTGAAATATTGATTGCAAACTACTTCAAAGTGCTGAGTTAAATGATGGACAAGAGAATGTTGTAGTAAAATATAATCCGAATTTAAAGATATCTTTTCCAGAACACAGGAAGATATTAGACAAATAAAAATAGCGTAATGTAACTAAACAGGAAAAGGTGGCTAAACTTCTAGATGATATGCAACAAAACGATATCATTGAACTAAATGAGTCCTTGGGCTTCTCCAATTGTTCTAGTCAAGAAAAAAGATGGCTCAACATGATTTGGTGTCCACTATACTCAACTAAATGACTTTACAAAGAAAGATAGTTACCCTCCTCCAAGGATTGATGACATTTTATTCAGGAATAAATGGTTCTCAACTTAGAACCTTAAAAATGGTTACAGGCAGGTTGATATAGATCCTGATGATGCTTTAAAGACTGTGTTCACCACTGGACAAAGACTGTGGCAGCAATATGATTATAGAATGCACACTTGAAGAAAATCTACAGAACATCCGAAAGGTGCTAGAGAAATTAAGAATGGCTAATCTTAAATTGAGTCCATCTAAATGTAAGTTCTTTCGTTATGAAGTTAGTTAAATTGTACACATCATCTCAGCAGATGGTAAGAACAGATCCCAAAAATATTTCCGTGTTTAAGAACTGTACTCGCCCAGTGGATTTCTGCCAATCGGTGAAACAAATCACATTTATGTAAACGTCTTGTTAACAGGATTGAGAAAAAGTTTGCAAATTTAAATTTTCAATTGTGGAACTCTGAAAATTGCTCCCAGTTTTTAAATCCCGAAGAATCAAGTAAAATAAAAAAAACTTAATTCTGGGAAACACCCGGAACGTGTTTGCACCTGCTAAATGAAGTTAGTTTCGGATACATTTTTAAACAATATTAGTTTATTATATAATAGATAACTTTATGAGGAAGAAGAAAACTACTAAGTAATTTCTAGTTAAATAATAAGATCTATCCGAAATCCATGCTAATTTGCAATTCATTAAATTCCTTTATTATGACGCAATAAAACGAGTATCTTATTTAGTTTTAAGAATTTTACTTAAATTATTAATAAATTATTTGACAGTTTCACTTGATATTAAAATTGTCACAGGAAGTAATCAGAGTTTAGCTGGGAAAAACTGCTTCAAAGTATTATTATATGGTTTTTACATAAACCTAAAACTTTTAATTAAAATTAAACTTAAAAAGATATTTAATCTCGTTGGTTTCTTTGTAGTTGTAAGATTTTTTATTTTGCAAAAAATTTTTTGAATGTGCAAGTTATTTTTTAAAAATTTCAATAACTGTCTTTCGTATTCCATTCAATTTTTTTAAAAAATTTTATTTCTGTATAAATTTCAGATGCGATGATTCAAAGAAAATGCTTAAAACATGAAGGAAAAAAAATAGAATTTTAATTAATCGCTCTTTATTTATTTATTTATTGTTATTATTATTTTCTCTTTGTTCCTTTCCTTCTTTGCTTGAAAATTCTTAAAATAATGTGAAAGAAATATAATAAGTCAAAATCTAAACTAAGTTAAAATCTCTTCCAATTAGTTCACAAAATAAAATTCAATTAATGCATATTATCAAAATATCTAATTTACAGTACTTATAATGAAACTGCAGAACATTATTAATAGAAATATTTTAAAATTTATTCAAAATAAACAAATATTTAATAAAAAATTTAAAAGTAATTTGCGATAATATATCTCCCCCCCCCACACACACTTTTCCAATTTTACCAAGAAAAACTTCAATTTAAAAAAAATTAATAATACAAATTACACAGCAATGATGACAAAATGTTTGATTTGGTATTAGCAAAAGAAAAATAATTAAAATAAATAAATAAAATAAAATAAAACATTAAATTAATTTTTCCTCTTCACCAAAAACTTTTGCTATCAGTACAATTTAACTACTAATGAACTCTAAAATAAACTCATAACTCCTCTGTTATAGTGATTTATGATGACAGCTATCTCCACCTCTCAATTAGTACCCAGTCGGCGGTCGTAGGGGAAGGAAAAAAAATACTAGCCAAAGACTCGGGCCCGCCGCTTGAGAGGCAGACAGGCAACCCGAGTTATTCCGGGCTTGCCGCGTTACGTGCAGAAATTATGCCCGAGTTATTACGGGTCTGCAGCCAGGAGGGTTAAAATATATATATATTTTTTAAGCTCTTGTTTTTTCTGGCATGCCGGAAGGAGCAAGGCAAAAGTTATTGAAAACTTGGGGAACCCAAAATTTTGCATCATGCCTGCTGCTGGATAATATAGTAAAATTACTTAGAAATCCACTGGTATAACTGTCAAAAATGTTAGTTAAAAAACTATATGAATTCGCAACAAAATCGGCACAAATCAGACATGTGCGTCAAAAAGTTAACAGTCAAATGCGAAATTAAACTGCTGTGATAATATCTTATTAACAATAATTAAGATTTCAAATAACCATGTAATAATAATTGCTGAAAAACCACACAAATCACTTAAATATGGGATTCAAAATTTTGTGATGCGTTTAGTATTTTAAAAAATGCACTGTTTTTATCTACAGCTATAGCAAAATTTTTGTGCAAGGCTCGTAATTTCTGAAGTTCCCTTCAAAAGTTTTTGAGACAAATGAACTTTGAAACTTCAGTGAAATTGCCTCTAAATTTATAAATTAGCGTGAAAAAACACCCACTAGTTATGAATCCTATTATGTGTGAAAAGAGAACCCACTTTGATATCGCTAAATCAAAATTAGTAAAAAATGGAAAGAATTTTTCAATTGAACTTAAGAGACTTGAACTTCTCAACAATGAAGAATTACTAATAATGATGGATTATTTAGAATTGAACAATTAGAATTAATTATTAAGAACTGAACAAATTTTTAAATATTTAGAATTGTTTTTAATTGACAAAACAAATTGTTAAATATTTAGAATTGAACAAAAAAAATTTTTAAAAAATTGGCAAGAGAAGACTGAAGAAAATTTTATGATGAACTTGCCAAAGAAACGCAAAAGACAGCAAATGTTTGTACTAAAAAATATAAATGAACAAAGCTTGGAGAGGAATTCATCTTTATATCTAAATTTTATTGAATTCAGTAAGGCTTTTGATTCAATCGATCAGCAAATTGTGGAAAATATCGAAAAATTACAAACTTGCAGAAAATTCTTTTAATATTATTAAGAGCCTTTAAGATGGAAGTAAAGCACGTATTGAGATAAATGGAATACGCACAGACTCCTTTGATGTTCAAACAGAAGTAAAACAGGGATGTGTATTGCCTGGATATTTACTCATAATTGCCATTGATTGGATTAGGAAGAACACTATCAAAAATAGAAAAGTGGGATCAGACGGAATTTTAACACCACACTAGAATATCTTGATTGCGCAGATGACAGTCTTCATTTCATCTAGATTCATCTATCTTGAAAAGAAAACTAAAAAATTTTATAAATATGCAAATCAAATCGGTCCTCAAATTAATAGGAATAAAAGAAAAACCACGAGAATGCATGCAAAATCTAATAATAAAATTAAAATAAATTCTGAAGAGTTTGAAGAAATTGATTCTTTCACATACCTTGGGGCATTAATAAATAAACAATGAGGCAACAATGATGATATAAACCAAAGAATCATAAAAGTTAGAGCCTGTTTCAGAAGTTTTGAAAAATTTTAGAGAGCTTCAAATATAAAAATCTCAAAAAATGTTTCAAAAGCTGTTGTTCGCTTCAAACTTTTGCATGGTGCAGGGATGCTACTCGCAAAATATCAAATTGTCTCACCAGAAATTGCATTTCGTCTCAGTTAAAATCTCTTTTTGGCTCAGTTTGTCTCAGCTAAAATTATTTTTTTCACTCAGTTTATCTCAGCTAAAATGATTATTAATCAGTTTGATAACAATATAAAGATAATTTTCAGGATCCATAAAACCATTAATAGCATACTAGGAGTACTACAATTATACATACATTCACTATTGCTAGGATTTTAAAAAACCTGCATATGATTGATTATAAGAGTCCACAAAATTGTTTTATGGACTCTGTTGTTTTCATATATATTGCATTTATCATTTATGCCAATGAATAGTATCTGTTCCAGAATTTTACAAAGTAAATTTTAACTTTCTTATTTTTTAAAATATAATGGTGTTAACTTTCTAAAAAGAAATATCTATTTAGTTTCAGTAATTCAAAAGGGAAAATACCCATTTTATTTTGAGCTCAAATTTCATCTCAAAATATATAACTATTCAGTTACAATGAAAGGTCTACAGATTTCAATAATTAAAAGAGAAATTCAGTAATTAAATAATGAGAGTTTAAGAAAATGCAAATAACACAAAAAAAACACTCTTTGATAGAATTCAGGAGGTGCAGTGAAATTTTGAAATATTTTAGGTAGGAATTTTTCAAGAAAATTTTAGGGAGCACTTAATAGCCAAAAATTAGCATATATACATTTTTATATCAAAACAGAAATATTTAAAAACTATTATAAACAATTTAAAAAGACACATATAAATATAATTTTCTTTCTAAAATGACTTGCATCCTTTATTAAGTATAAAAGTAAACTTTTTAGTTAATTGGCATTGACTAGTAGATTGTACTTTCTTGCATTCACAAGATTAGTTAGTTGACTATGTTCTTTTAATTTATATAGCTAAATATACAATCATAAAATGTGATTATGAATGCACTTAGTAATTGTTTAAATGCAACAACTGTAGAAAAATATATCACATCTTTACAGTAACTAATTCAAGAAAAAACTTAATTCTACTTCTTTCTAGAATCGTGAAACTGGATTTTAAAATTGCGTGAATATGAATTGCGATTTTGGGTTTTAAAATCGCGTGAATATGAATCGCGATATTGAATTACAAAATCGTGTGAATATGAATCACGATATTGGATTTTAAAATAGCGTGAATATGAATCGCGATTTTGGATTTTAAAATCGCGTGAATATGAATCGCGATATTGGATTTCAAAATCGCGTGAATATGAATCACGATATTGGATTTTAAAATCGAGTGAACATGAATCGCGATTTTTGATTTTAAAATCAAGTGAATATGAATCACGATATCGGATTTTAAAATCACGTGAATATGAATCGTGCGGTTGGATTTTAAAATCGCGTGAATATGAATCGCGATTTTGGATTATAAAATCATGTGAATATGAATCACGCTGTTGGATTTTAAAAACACGAAAATACAAATCACGATATTGGATTTTAAAATCGCGTGAATATGAATCACGTGAATATGAATCGCGCAGCTGGATTTAAAAAACACAAATCACGATATTGGATTTTAAAATCGCGTCAATATGAATCACTATTTCGGATTTTAAAATCGCGTGAATATGAATCACGATTTTGAATTTTAAAATCACGTGAATAAGAATAGCGCTGTTGGATTTTAAAAACGCGAAAATACAAATAGCGATATTGAATTTTTAAATTGCGTAAATAAGAATCACGATGAATAATTTTTAGATCACGTGAATACGAATCGCAATGAGTAATTTTTAAATAGCGTACAAATACGAAAAACGGGATCTGATATTACAACTGCGTGATAACGAATCGCAATATTGGATTTAAAAATGCGTGAATACGAATCGCGACGTTGGATTTTAAACTCGCGGGAATACAGATCGCGATATTGAATTTTTAAATTGAGTGAATAGGAATTGCTAGTACGATTTTTAAACAGCGTAAAAAAAGTCGCAACACATAAGTTTTAAATAAGTTAAATACGAAAATCGATGATTGATATTAAAATCGTCTGATTAAAAATCGCGATTTTAGCATATTCCAGCGCAATTCCTAATATTTAAAATTCCGAAAATCAGCCAAACGAAAAAAAAAATCATATATCGGTGGTCGAAACGAAACACTTAGACTCCTTTCCACTCTATAGCGGAAGTCGCGGGAATCCGACTATCGTTCCGGCGGCTTGGGTTTCTCTAATTGGACTCCCTAAAAATTTTAGTTTTTGGAACATGGTCGAAAATTTTAAAAATTGGGAGAAAAAAGCGGATTTCCGCTTTTTCGTGGAAGTCTTTCATCCCTTGGAGACGTGAACGGCAAAATGATCTCCAATGACTCACGGCAATGCGGATTAATATTTGAAACTGAATTCAGGTTTGCCAAATTTTGGACGTTTTGTCTCAGAATGGCGCAGCTTTGGCAGAAACTGAGCTGAATGTCGCAAAATGGTGCAGTTATGCCGTTTTGTCTCAGTTTGTCGCAAATGGCGCAGGCGTAGCATCCCTGATGGTGCAGCTTGTTGGAATCCAAAATAGAAGAATAGGAAACATTCTAGAAATAATACTTAAGAATAATATTAAAAATTTTCTGGCCTAACACTATTTCAAATAAAGATCTACTAATTAAGGCAAAATTATCACCCACTCATGAAGAAATTATGAAGAGAAGATGAACTGGATATATCCTTTTTATTTTATTTCATAACAGCCGTTGAACAGCTGACCCAACTTTTTGGGTTTACATCTACTAATGTTCAAACTCCATAGCCTTGTAATTTTGAACCGAATGCAGAAAATAAGGTGGAGCAAGTATTGGGAGAAAATTTACCTTCCTGGAAGACTTTTTGATGGAAATAACCCACATTTGCATTACATGGAGAGGAAAACCCCGAAAACCTCCCACAGTTAATCTGATCGCAAGGGGACTTTAACCCATGATCCATCTGCCACTGAGGATATTTTACATCAGCACTGTGGTCGGTGCAAGCCGGATATGGAATTCGTACTAACCAGCAATCGCTCAGATTTGAATCCGCTTCAACCAACACCTCTTAGAAAAGAGTAGGCCTCTGCACGGGTTACCATAAATATCCTTTAGTAGTCCAAACGTAATGACATATGTCGTATTTTCAACCACTGCGCAGCCTAGTACCCCGAACGTAAAGACATCTTTCTTATTTTTCATCAACTGCGCAGTTAACTTCCTCACATCGGACTACTAAATTGATCCGTGCTGAGGCCTTCATACTTCTAGGAGGTGTTGCTTCAACCCATTGGAAGGCAAATGCTCTATCCTCTAAGCCATCACGGATATATCCCTTGTCTATAATGGGATAGCCCTGCTTACATCAATTGCCCTTTTTTGGGCACCCGATAGAAATCACAAAAAAAGGAAGGTTGAGACTCGCTTGGCAAAGATATATGCACAAAGATCTGTGCAAAGCAAAATTAAAGGGATGGGAGAAAGACTGGCTCAATACAGGGGTGCCTAGAAAGAGAGACCTGAAGCCTTATAATCCAGCTGGTGCAAAGAGCATAAGTAGGCATGCGTAATCAAATTTTTTAATAATATACAGATTTAAATGTAAAAACTTCAAAATTACACATAGATGTTTATTAAACATTCAATAGATATTTATTAATTTGATATTTATTTTTAAAAAATTATAATACTTCAAGTTGTAATAAATATTTCATTAGTTTCGTATTAAGCATTCTAAGTATTTGATTTTATGCATGGTTGTATTCTAAAAAATTTCAAAGAGGAAAATAACTGGAAACAGTGGAGGAGCAAATAATTTTAAGGGCTACCAGACATTTTTAATAACTACCAACATTTTTCAAATTCTTGGAGCCCTGTGCATTATTAAAAAAATCCTTTCAATTATGATATTTGGTATTAAGAAGTATTCTTGGAAAGTAGATTAAACACTGTTAAAAAATATTCCTGGAACATATGGTCGTAAAACATTTAAAACTTCAAACTTTTCGCTAATGAGTAATAAATTATTCAGCAACGATTGTTATAAATAGCTATTAATTTACCATTTAAATTGCCATTTAATTAAATTACTATTTAATTACCAAATAAAATTATAAAATTTATTATTGATATATATTTTTGAATTATGTAATCTAGGTGCAGCACATTCATTTACCTCTTAACTAATTTAATTGTAGATTAAAATTCATTCAAATACTGCTTCGTAAATCTTTGTTAGAAACACAAATTAAATTTAAAAAATTCATGGAACAATTTTTTAAATGAAAAACAGTACGACATATTAGGAGGCGGTCATAATCAGAAACCTCAAATTTTATCTCTTTTTTTTTTAAAGAAACTATACAAAAAAACACAAAGTAAAAATTTAGTATAAGAACATATCTTTGGGGAGCACTCAAAATAAAAAAGGGTGAAAATCTTAACATTAAATCATGTGATTCCAGGTATTAGCTACATAAATTGGATGAAACAAATCATATAACTTATCTGATATTGGATTGCTAGATTACCTTATGCAATTTAAAGGATCTTCTTTGCAGTCAATGTTACAAACAAATCGTAACCATGAAAGCCATCCCATTGGTGGAGTTAAAGCCAATCCATTATCTAGGCTCACCACATTCAAAGGAGAACAAATGAGGATAAAGATAAGCAACTTCATTTTCTTAATATTTCTAAAAATAATAAATAAGGATTACATTTTTAAGAAAAATAAGCTTATGATTCATGATTCATACGAAATTTCTGAACAAAATGACCAGAACAAAAATTTAAAAAATAATATTAAATACATTCTATATGTTTATGGCACATGATAAGAAATATTAGTGGAGAAATAATACTAAAAACACAAAAATTAAAAGTTAATGCGCATATTTACTTAAGTGTTTTATGTACGTATACGGAGTACAAAATGACTTTTATAATATCGGGTTGCTTAAACTCTTTAGTTTTAAATAATTCTGATTACCCTAATGTTAAAATCTAATTAACAGTGTTAATCATTAACCACATAGATACAATACAAGCAAAAAACTTTTACCTTTAGTTTGAAGTATATATAAAAATCATCATTACCAAAATTGCATTTTCTCAGGAAAAAACCTATTTCTTCCAGACCAGTGGAAGAAAATAGAAAAAATGGAAAAAGTTGAACAAAATTGAAAAAACTAAAAATTGACTAACACAATTGTTTTTAAATAAGTAATGTAAGAATGGCTTAAATTTAAACAAGCTAAATTTAATATACCACCAGTTAAGCTTTTCACGCTATTCATATATTATGTATGTATACATGCATTACATATATATATATATATATATACATACATATACATATATATAGATATATATACATGCATATATATATATACATATACATACATACATATATATACATACATATATATATACATACATATTATAAATTTAATATACCACCAGTTAAGCTTTTCATGCTATTCATATATTATGTATGTATACATATATATATATATACATATATATACATGTATACATATGCACATATATATATATATGCACAATATATATACATATGTGCATATATATATATATAAAAAGATAAGCGTACAAATCGAGGTAAACGGGGTTCAAGAAGTAATAGAAACTCTCTTAATACTGACAAATTAAATATACAATTTCTTTCCAATATGGAAAAAGACTTTAATAAACATTATAACATTAAATCAATTAAAGATTTTGTCTTTTCCCTTAAGAATTATGATGTATATAAGTTCTACGATCTTATTATTAACTTTTCTTTTATTAATTTACATTTCAAAATTTCTTGTTTTGATCTTATAAAAGCTAAAATGAGCATAATTTTGCCTAATAAAAAGAAAAGTTTAGGTAATTTATATTTCGTTATTAACTTTCAAAATCCTATTTTCGATAAGATCAAATTTCACAACATTTTTGAAAATTTTAAAGCTTCATTTCCATTAAAAGATTTTAACATTATTAAAAGTTTTAAATATAACAAATCTCTTGGTAGAACCATATTTAACTATAATGATATAAGCAAAAATTTAGGGAGTATTAATATATCCGATTATGAATGTCACTGAGAGGAGGATAAATATTTTGATTTTGTTGATAAACATCATAAACATATTATTACTGGTAATTTAAATATTATAGAAAACTTGGAACTTAGGATTTTAATGATAAAAGGCACAAAATTTAGACCCATTTACCTTATATCAATCAATAAAATTCTAAAATAATTTCTTAATGATCTCAATAGTTTTTGTTTAAAGATATCAAATAAATTCTCTTTACCTTTAGATATGCTAACAGAATGGAAATGGGGTGTTTATTATTACAGTACAGAACCCGTTATCCGGAAATCAGAAAACCGGAATACCAAAAAACCGGAGCGAAATCCAATGAATTTTCCCACCATTTTTTAAAAAAAATTTTTTTTTCCTCATAAGATTTTACAATTTTTTTTTTCTTTTTTGAAAGATGTTTACCATACCATCATTTTAGAAATAATCATTACTGTATTATTCCATCGTNGAATTTTAAACTTAGTAATTTCAATAATAATATTGTCATTAAAAAAATTTTAGCTTTTCAAAAGAGATTAAAAAATAAAATTATCAATATACAATTTCCTTACTTAATTATCAGTTCTAAATTTTATAAAATTCCTGTAAAATTTGGAACTATCACATGTGGATCTAATACTTTTTTAACAAAACCTGGCACCATTTTCTCTTACTTAAATAAAATTATAAACAATATTACTAAAGAAGGTTTCTCTTGGATTATCACTAATAATCAACCAATTTTAGATTTTTCATTAAACATAATAAAATTAATTCTATTGCGACTTTTGATTTCCGGGATCTTTTCAATAGCATTCCCCTTTCTAAACAAAAAGATGTCCTTTTGAATTATTACTATGATTTTAAAAATATCCTTTGCTGCGATTTTGATTATTGGGAAATTCTGATTAATTTTTGTCTTTTTAATAATCATCTTTACAATGGAAAGGATATTTTTCTTCAAATTAATGGAATACCACAAGGATCTAATTATTCATCTCTCTTAGCTAACATATTTTTGCATTATTATGAAAAAAATATACTTTTAGTATTAAATTTGTTTTTAGATACATTGATGACATAATTATCTTTAATTTCCAAGATTTTACTATTTTATTAAATGACATTTACCCTGAGGAATTAATCTTACTTCGTAATCACAATGATAATATTAATTTCAATTTTTTGGATTTGGGTATTATATAAGTTGAAAATATCTGCTTTGTTGCTACGATAAAAAAAATTATTTTAATATTAATATACTAATTACTTGAAATTCTAATGTTTCTAGGAGCATCTATTTAAATACCACTTTTAATGAAATGAACAGAATTAAAAGAATATGTAGTAATATTTATTTATCCAAAAAACAAATCGATAAACTCTTGCAAAATTTGATGAAAAACAATGGATACCCAACTAAAGTAATAAAATTTTATATAAAATCATTGAATTAATCATATATTTTTGTGGATATATTTACTAAACATTTCCTTTGTTAATCTATATAATTTTTCCATGTGCAAATTCATTTCGGGCCAATCCGCGAATAAAACTATCTACTAAAATAATTTTCTTTAATTTTTCCATGTGCAAATCCATTTCGGGCAAATCCGTGGCTAAAATTATTTGCAAAACAGGCAATTTATGTTTCTCCTTTTTATTTTATATTTTTTCTTAAATAAACATCTATTTTCCAAAACTGTTTATAGTCAACTTTTTTAAATTATCCAGTATAATATTACCATGCGCACATCCATTTCGGGCCCATCCTTGGTAACTAACAAATCAATGCACAGAATAACAAATCACTTCAGCAGTGCAGTAAGAACGGCACTCTAAAACCCTCTAGTTACACTAAATTTGCGCTTTTGTTTTCATATTTTGTAATTTGGCAATCTTGTTGCGAAAATTTTTTAAATCATTCTTGAAAAATTTCCTATCCATGTAAGTACATCTGATTTCGCTACTCGCTTTATAGTCTATGTTTTATACTGTTTTTTCTTTTATTTTCTGTTTTTACATGTTATTTTTACTTATTTTTTCTTATTGTGTTCTATTTTATTTGTTGCAATTTTTGTAAAAATTTTTTTTGAGTGTCCTCACACTATTGTATTAATATATTTCGCTTTGGCTACATTGATACAATATCAGAAAGCATTCTCTTTTGCGGATATAATCGATGAAGAAAAGATAATATCTTTTTTTTCCAGTTTTTTCATCCTTTTTTTTTTAAAAAAAAACTGCTGTTTGATATTTTTTTACTTATTATTTTCCCTCCCTTTTTCATATGTCTATAATTTTTCTTTGTTTTATCTTCATTTCGAACTTATGCCAAAAGTGTGGACACTTTTTGAAAGTTTCATGTTTTTCAACTTTGTGTGCTTGTAGAATATATTAATTTTCACTTAAATACAAAAGTTTATATATCAAATTGAAGGTAATTTAATGTAGAATTTAATAAT